CGGATACAGCACTCAAATTCCAAACGGAAAATGAAAATGTGAAAATTCACTATTCAGCCTGCTTGATTAATTCGATACACGAGTATTTATACACTTATGAGCCACATATAAGGCTACAGTAACATAGGAAATAAACTAATCACAAACACATTAAACTGAAGTTGCCACTAATACTTTAAAACTATTTCTCCTTTAGCTCCGACGTCATTTTGAGCATCCAATTTGAATGTAATGAGCTCGCTGTGATGAGCTACATCCTATGACATGATCTGTATGCAATTATAAGCTTGATTTTTTCTTGATTTTGTCTTTGAGTAAAATTGACAGTTACTTTTGATTTAACCATTTGAATTATTGAAAGATTTATGTTTTGCATCAGAAATTATGCTTTATTAGGTACGAATTTGTATGATGCCAACAAAACTAACTAAATTTAAATGACATATTAATGATTTAAAAACATATTATTTTTATAGAAGTTAAACTAATTCATAGTTATTATTCATCAAAATTAGTAGATCTTACTTGTGTTATATTTTACCTTTTAAGATTCAAATTTTAATAAAAAATAGAATAAAAAGCAAATCGAAGTATCAAACAATATATTTTTCATTAGAAATCATATCATCGTTATCCACTTATCTATATTAACATAATAATTTTTTTAAATGTAGAATGAAGAAAATTGCGGTATGAATATGAAAGTAGTCATCAGACCCTAAACCATCACTAGGTGAACATTTCACAGGCTTTTAATAAATTATTTGTTATATGTTCCACTTAAATATATAAACAAATGAGTTTTGTTAAACTAATATTTTGTGATTTTGTACTTTGGGACTTGATTTTATTGCATCTACTTTCTTATTTTCCACTATTGCTATTATTTTCCTGCTAAAACCCTTAATTTTTCATTTACGCAATTCTGTGTTCGTGAGGCTTACGCCTCAGACCGCCTCGAGGCTTACGCCTCGCCTCACGGACGAAAACCGCCTCGAGGCGCAGTTACGCAATTTTAAACCTTGGTATCACCAGTAAACCATGTTGAGCCGCTTTCAATTCTTGAAGTAACAGAGTGTGACTGAAGATGTTGGTCGCAGAACGTTCTTCATGCTCCATGACTGGAGACGGCAACAACACCATTTGTTGATGATCGTGGACAAATGAATAGGTATTTGTGGTTCCATTATGGATAGTCCCTTTGTCAAATTGCCAGGGTCGTCCCAACAGCAAATGGCGTCCATGGGGACGACGTCACACTGAACATGATCTTTGAATGGTCCTATGGAAAAATAAATCAGACACTGTTTGCCCACCTGTACTTCAGCATTCTTGCGTATCCAAGATAATGCATATGGCTTAGGGTGATCAGTGGTGGTTAGTTGTAGCTTATCCATCATGATAGTGGCAACAACGTTCTCGCAGCTCCCACTATCTATGATCACGTTACACACACGATCTTTAACGGTGCATCTTATTCGAAAGATGCTATGACGTAGCCATGAATCATCCTTGTGAATATTTAGGGACTGTTGTAAGACTAGCAGATTTCCTTCATCTCCCATTAGGTAGGTAGGTTCGGACACAGGAACCTCAGCAACTGAGTTGGTGGTTGAATCTTTAGGTTCAGGTTCTTCTATCATGGTCACCACACGCCTATTGGGGCAGTTGGACGCAATATGACCAAATCCTTGACATTTAAAACATTTACGGGCTGGAGCAGGAGTTGAACCTTGAGTCCAACGAGCAGTCATACGTGCCGGCGCTTCGTCCGGTTGTCTACTCGGCCCGGCGACATTTTTGGAAGCTTTGGCTTCCTTGTCGCTCACAGACTCTGGACCGACATTCTTCTGATAAAATTTTCGGGCCTTGGATTGCTGCTTTTCTACTTTTAAAGCCAACCCTGTGATATCCTGGAAGGTCCAGTATGCCTGTAATTGCACAACATTGGCAATCCCCGGTTGTAATCCAGATAAGAATCGAGCCATAGTGTGCTCTGCTGGTTCTGCAATGTCACATTTCAAGGATAACTGCTCAAACTCAGATATGTATTCCTCTACAGTCAGATGTTGTTGTTGAAGCTGAGTGAATTTTAAAAAAATGTCTTGCTTATACTGGTCGTGAATGTATTTTCTTTGCAATTCCCGTTTCATCTTAGCCCATGTAACAATCTTGCTCTTTCCTTCTCGGTTTCTTGATCTTTTCAAATTTTCCCACCACAGGGATGCAGTTCGTTTGAGTCTGATCACAACGAGCTTGACAATTCTGTCTGCCAGGATTTCTTTAAATTCAAGAATCCTCTCAACTGTTTGAAGCTAGTTGATGAATTCGTTCGGGTCCATTCGTTCGTCGAATTAAGGGAGTTCTATTTTAATTCCACAATCATGGTGAGTGTTCTTGTTAGATCTCACCACCGGTCGTCTTACAGTTTCAACTTCACTAGAGCTTTCTTGATGAAATGGCTTAACCTCTTCTTCCTCATTTGTATTGACTACCAGATCACGTTGTTCGCATCTAGCTAGTCGTTGTTGTAACTGAGCTATCTCTCGTTGCAGATCTTCAATCAAGACTTCTTGAACTGGTCTCTGAACATTCCGGCGAGGCGGCATCTTGCCGGCTCTGATACCACTTGACTCTGGACTCGAAGAAAAAGGTCGTGGAAAACTTCTGGACGGAGAATCAAGAACTCCGTCGATGTTGTGTAACTCGATCGTAGAACAGGCGCGAACGTCGTCATCCTTCAGGTGACGATGATCGTCAATTGTTCGAACTACGATCGGCCGCAAAATAGAGAATTCGTTTGAATTCTTGTTAACGCGCCAAAAACCACCACCGGTTGCAAAACCGGATACAGCACTCAAATTCCAAAAGGAAAATGAAAATGTGAAAATTCACTATTCAGACTCCTTGATTAATTTGATACATGAGTATTTATACACTTATGAGCCACATATAAGGCTACAGCAACATAGGAAAGAAATTAATCACAAACACATTAAACTGAAGTTGCCACTAATACTTCAAAACTATTTCTCCTTCAGCTCCGGCGTCATTTTGAGCATCCAATTTGAATGTAATGAGCTCGCTGTGATGAGCTACATCCTATGACATGATCTATATGCAATTATAAGCTTGTTTTTTTCTTGATTTTGTCTTTGAGTAAAATTGACAGTTACTTTTGATTTAACCATTTGAATTATTGAAAGATTTATGCTTTGCATCAAAAATTATGCTTTATTAGGTACGAATTTGTATGATGCCAACAAAACTAACTAAATTTAAATGACATATTAATGATTTAAAAACATATTATTTTTATAGAAGTTAAACTAATTCATAATTATTATTCATCAAAATTAGTAGATTTTACTTGTGTTATATTTTACCTTTTAAGATTCAAATTTTAATAAAAAATAGAATAAAAAGCAAATCGAAGTATCAAACAATATATTTTTCATTAGAAATCATATCATCGTTATCCACTTATCTATATTAACATAATAATTTTTTTAAATGTAGAATGAAGAAAATTGCGGTATGAATATGAAAGTAGTCATCAGACCCTAAACCATCACTAGGTGAACATTTCACAGGCTTTTAATAAATTATTTGTTATATGTTCCACTTAAATATATAAACAAATGATCCAATGTTCAAGTTTACAGTATTCAACCTTATTCATTTATATATTGCATCAACAAAATCTTTTCTAACTTGATCAATCTTCAAGAGAAATGAGATTTGTGCGATAAATTCCAAAATTTAAGTCATTTCTAATTATTTCAGTTGCGTTCTTCGACCGTTGGATTTGGGCAAGGTATTATTGATCATAATCTAAATAAGTAAGCATAAAGCAGCCTAATTAAGCGCTATATATTCTGTTGTTCCCTTGCATCCTTATTAAGAAACTGGGACCGCTCAGTAACTCAACCCTTGCATCCTTATTAAGAAACTGGGACCGCTCAGTAACTCAAACCTAATACGACAAATCATCTATCAGCCATTGTGGTAACTGGTAAACAGTGACACTACTTCATTACTTAATTTGCAATGATCACTTAGTAAATATTTGATCAATGTCACGCACAGTATTCTCATAAGAAAGAAAAAAACTATTTTTTCCTAGAATTTTTGGCAAATTTACTCATGTGGAAGGCAGCAATTTACTACAATACCGATCTTCATATATTGAAGTAAAATAATACAGATTGAATCGCTCATCCATTCGGTCAACTATATTCTTTCATTTGCATCTTTCTAAGAGAAACATAGTGATAAGAAAACTAGAAGTACAAAGTTTTCCTTTTTCTAATGTTGAAATGGTCGCAAAAATTAGATTAGTATGAAACACAGTACAAAAATATAGAGAGAAATAGATGAAAAAATGAATGAATGTCCCTCTCTCCCTCTTTATATCTATTGGTCTAATATTGGTTTTTTTTAATATTAAACTCTAAAAAAATCAACACAAACTTTGAAGAAAAAATCATAATTTAATTAGATGAGTAATAAAAATCATTCAAAATTTTTAAAAAATATTACTTTTTAAAATTAAATATCTATATGTTTTGACCATTAGTCTCACAAAAGAGAAGCCGTCCTATCCCATCACAAAAGATATCATTAGACTAACAGACACAACATAGCAAAAAAACAAAGCGGAACCCATCACTACTGCAGACAACACAGTAATGTCCACTAACAAGCCTTTTCTCGTCCACTACCGCTTTATCGCAGCAACCTTGTTTCCCACCCGCAAATCGCTCGCCCTACGCCAAAATCCAGCATCCGAATCCGTAAATTTTCCCTTCACCCCAACTTTCCGATCCCACCCAAAAAAAAAAAAAACTCAAAACCAATCCAAAAATCCGGATTCTGTAATTCCACCAACATCAAAACTATTCATCGCACGTTACAAATCGAAATCGTATGCAAATGAATCACAAAACGCACAAGAAATTACAAAGACGAAGAACATGGAAACGGTTGCGATTGATTACCTCGAGGAACAAAATCTCTCGGTTTAGGATCTGCGCCTCGACCTGGAGCCGATGCCGCCCGCAGATATCCGGGTACTTGGGCGGAGATCTCGGTTGTGGCAATGCCGGCGGCACAGGAGCCAACGTCTCCGGCGGCTTTGCTGCCATCAACGGCTATTCTCAAAGGGTGAAACGGAGGCAAAGTGCCGCGACGCGGAGAAAAGGAGAGTTGCGAGAGATCGAAGGCATTTAAGTCACGAGTGTTCGGCGGGAGGGAACGGATTTCGAGGTGGGAGATGGGAGTGGCTTCAGTGCTGCAGGTGAGCAGAGGAGGCGCAGCACTAATATGGGGTTCAGTACAAATGGCTAGTGGAGAGAGTCAAGAATGGTCAACAATTGTTTTTGTTCAAGCGACTAAAGGCTGATTGCTTAGAATCGGTAATGTTTCTCTTCGAGTAAATATATTGCGGATATAATACTCATTTTTTATATTAAATAATATTATTGTATCTTTGAGATATAAAATTTAATATCTTAATTTTATGCAAAGATTCAACATATATATGAATAAGAAATAGAGGTACAAAGGTCATAAAACATATATTATTTTTTACATGAAATTTTTGAAAAACTAGAAAGTATGGCCCAATTCAAAAAAAAAAAAAAATAGTTAAAACCCAATGAGGGACCTACGCGTTAATAAAAATCAAAAGTACAAAGTCATTAAAGAGACCTCAAGCTCGCTACTGCTCATTAGAGCTGCAATAAAAAGTCAAAGAAACCTATGAGCTCAAAGTCCCTACTAGAAAAAAGTACAAAACACCCTAAATACATTCTAAGGTGCATAAGGATAAGCACCCAAAAAAGAAAATAAAAGCAAAAAACATCATTCTGAACCAGCTTCCCATTCGGAGTCAGATTGGTATCAATACATGCAAAAGATTGATTCTGCAAAACAGGATAAAGAACATAATAGCATAAGCAAAAATAAACAAGAGAAATATCAAAAGGAATATTATACAAGTGAGTATAGCCAATATTACTCCAAAAATCTATCCAGCAGCAGACAGTAATCCCAAATCAGGAGGAACCAACAGTTGAAATAATGTAGTAGGCTCGAGTTGAATGCAACATCAAACAGACAGAACAACTCAAAGTACCCAAATTCCAAAGCCAAAATCATAAACCAAAAAAACCCAGCCAAGATGATCCACCCCACAGCACAGCCAGCAAGAGGCAACACTTGGAATAGAAGATAATCCAATGAAAGGAAATAGCAAATAATCTGAGCCCTCAGAGCCACCCCAACCAAAGCACCAATGAAAAGAATGATCCAAAAAATAGCTCCCAGCACCTAGAAACCGACCATAACAGAGAATCAAAGGTCCCATAAATTGATATGCCAAACGACAACTCAGATGACCTAACCAGACAACAGACAAGTAACCAAAATGGCTGGCTCTACAAACCAGCACAAACAGTTGCCTGCCAGCACTAAACATGGAACAAAAATTATAAAACAAATTCCTATAAAGAACTTCTCTAAACCACCTGATGAACATAAGGCAGAGCCAAAACAGAATACATCCAAACAGCAAATTAACCAAGACACCAAGGCAACTGTCGTCTAAACCAAAAGACCAACTAGGAGGTGGAAAAAATAAGACAAAAGCACAAGCAGAATAGGCCACCAGACTACTAGCAACAACCAAAAGAAGAAACCAAAACATTAAGTTCTAATATAAGGAGTCCCCATCCCATCCTGAAAAATAATCGCTCTAACCTGCACATGAACGTTATTAGCAGCATAATCTGTAAAATGAGGCAAATTACACCCCCAATTTGCCAACCAAAAAGTACAGGAATTACCTTCTCAAATGACATGAGAGAAAGAGACATTAATCAATAACATCATTAGCTTAATCTTCATCATCAAATAGAAAAGATTTGCATTGCAATCAGACTCGTCCATAGAATTAAAACATTGAATAATGTAAGAGGAATCAACTTCAATGCTGAAAGTAATAATGCCCAACGAAATACGAAGTTTAATACCATAAAGAATAGCATAAAGCTCAACAAAACTCATATCCCGCAAGGGTAAGAGACTAGCAAAAGCAATAATAGTATTACCAATATTATCCTTGAGGATCCCACTGCACCCCGAACAATTACCACTAACAATACCCTTCACATTAAGCTTGAAAGAACTAATGGGGGGCTTAATCCGGTAAACAATTTTAGAACTAGCCTGATGGCAATTGCCATCAAATTTAACGCCTAAATCATCAGCAACAAACAAGCAATTTTTAAAATTCTTCACTAAAAGCAGGTTAACAGATATTAAGTTCAAGACTTTGTCTTTCACATTATTAATAATTCTATTTTGGTTCATACCCACACCATTAAAATAAGAGTTGTTATGATCCAACCATAAAAATCAAAGTATAAGAGAAGGAATCACATTCCTAATATGACCATTGGACTTGACAAACCAAGATGCAAGGAGAGCATTAATGGAAAGGTTAGTATTAAAATAATTGAGCTTAAATATATCATCAAAGTAAATCTAAGTTTTAATTGCGACGGGACCAGACAAGAAAACATGATGCATATTCTCAATATGGTAGTAACATTGACATTTGGACGGCAAAATAAAATCTCTTTTTATTAAATTGTCCTAAGTAGGAATGAGCATATGCAAAAGTCTCCAAATGAAAATAGCAACAGTATAAGGAATGTTTTTATGCCAAATTAAAAAGAAAATATATGAACACTCTTTATTAGTTCTAAAAAGCATTCCAAGCATCTATAAGCTTAAAAGTACAATCTTTGGACCAGTTACAAAACAGACGATCATCAGAATTGATGTTAAGGGAAGGTTCAAGATCTGTTGAAAAATAGAGTCAGGTATCACATTCATAAGTTTATTATAATTCAAACAGTTATCGATATTGAAAGCAATGCTGGCCTAACCAATGATCATGCCAAAAGAAAACATCACCATGACCAAGATCCCATGATATATGCAGTTCAATCCTCCATTTAATCTTACAAAGTCTTTTCCAAATATTGGAATCCCCTTGTTTGAAAAAACAAATAGTGGGGTGATTACCCATGCAGTACTTAGCCATCATAAAATTAGCCCAAAGATCTTTATTAGAACATAAAGTATACCACAACTTGAGAGAAAAGGCATAGGTAATGACCCAATTCAAATTATTTCACTAGTATTTGTTGTTGATTACAAATGATGTCTTTCCTCTTAAGGGAAGTCATTGACTCAATATAATAAATATACACCGTATTAGCACATTATATCTATTTTTAAGAGATCCTTGGCATGTTTCTTTGGCTAGCAGGATCGTAGTTGGGTGACTAAGGTCAAAGGGAGCATTGTTGGGTGATACAGATCGGAGGGACCATATGTGAAAGCCTTCTTTTTCTTTTCCTTTATGTTTTGATCTGATTTAATTGAGATTTCCTTCCAGGTTCGTCCGGACGAAGTTAGGATCGTCTGGGACGAACAGTTGAAACATTGGCAACCTGAGAGCATCGTCCATGACGAAAATAATTATCGTTTGTATGATGGCAACCTGAGGAGATCGTCCCTGTACGAAGAGCAAATTTTATTTGTATGAACCTTGTTTGTGAACAACCCGAGGAGATCGTCCCGGGACGATTGGGGCATATTGTCCAGACGATCGAATTTGATAAATATCCGACTAGTGATATTTTTTGAAGAAAGGGAAGTGGAGGAGAGAGAAAACGAGGGAAAGAGGAAGAAAGTTGGATTTTGGGCGACTTCGGAATGTTTTCGCCCGTCGCCGTAGTTGAGAAAGTTGATCGACTCGAGGTAAGGCACATTATGCCTTTCTCAATATTCAGAAATGTGATTTTTGACGGATTTTATGTTTAAAATTTTGTTTCCGTTAGTGAAAAACGGGTATATCTTTGCATGATGTTAAGGGAAGGTTCAAGATCTGTTGAAAAATAGAGTCAGGTATCACATTCATAAGTTTATTATAATTCAAACAGTTATCGAGAATGAAAGTACTGCTGGCCTAACCAATGATCATGCCAAAAGAAAACATCACCACGGCCAAGACCCCATGATAGATGCAGTTCAATCCTCCATTTAACCTTACAAAGTCTTTTCCAAATATTGGAATCCCCTTGTTTGAAAAAACAAATAGTGGGGTGATTACCCATGCAGTACTTAGCCATCATCAAATTAGCCCAAAGATTTTTATTAGAACGTAAAGTATACCACAACTTGAGAGAAAAGGCATAGGTAATAACCTAATTCAAATTATTTCACTAGTATTTATTGTTGATTACAAATGATGTCTTTCCTCTTTAGGGAAGTCATTGACTCAATATAATAAATATACATCGTATTAGCACATGATATCTATTTTTAAGATATCCTTGGCATGTTTCTTTGGCTAGTAGGATCGTAGTTGAGTGACTAAGGTCAAAGGGAGCATTGTTGGGCGATAGAGATCGGAGGGACCGTATGTGAAAGCCTTCTTTTTCTTTTCCTTTATGTTTTGGTCTGATTTGAGATTTCCTTCCAGGTTCGTCCGAACAAAGTTGGGATCGTCCGGGACGAACAGTTGAAACATTGGCAACCCGAGAGCATCGTCCCAGGACGAAAATAATTATCGTTCGTATGATGGCAACTTGAGGAGATCGTCCCTGTTCGAAGAGCAAATTTCATTTGTATGAACCTTATTTGTGAACAACCCGAGGAGATCATCCCGGGACGATTGGGGCATATTGTACGGATGATCGAGTTTGATAAATATTAGAATAGTGATATTTTTGAAGAAAGAGAAGTGGAGGAGAGAGAAAATGAGGGAAAGAGGAAGAAAGTTGGATTTTGGGCGACTTCGGTCCGTTTTCGTCCGTCTTCGTAGTTGAGAAAGTTGATCGACTCGAGGTAAGACACATTATGCCTTTCTCAATTTTCAGAAATGTGAGTTTTGATGGATTTTATGTTTAAAATTTTGTTTCCGTTAGCAAAAAACGGTTATATCTTTGCACCGGTAAAACTTTTACCAAGTAACTTTTGATATGTTGTAGAGAATGTAATTTTACACGTTTTGAGTATTTTCTGGAAGTTTTTCACCTAATATTTTGAATTCTGCAGAGTTTTTATCGAATAGTAAATTATCTGGATGTTGAAAAATATTGCTTCAGTACAATAAAAGTCTTGAAATGATGTTTTACACAATCTCTGGTAATTTAAATTTTTTTTGAAACAGTGAATTTTTTATCCGTTGAATTTCTGTTGTTTGTCGTTATACTCTCTGACGATTTTATGATACGAATCTGATTTCTCTGAATTTGATATGGTTTGATGTTTAATATGATTTGAATGATATCAGAAGGGAGTTATAATGGGCCAGAATCTTTTGAGATTCTGTCTCTGTCAGGGAAGGGAGG